TGCTATTAACATATTAAAGTGTGAATTAGTTAGGAGATTAAGTTTCCTTTAGCTTACTCTTATCTTTAATTCACCTTGTATATAAATACTACATTGTACATTGTTTTTGGGTGAATGAGAAAATACTTTCCTCATTAGAAAGTTAACACTCTTCCTCCAGCTCCTAGAGTCTACTCCACAAATTTGTCTCTCCTAAATGATTCGAGAGATGCGTGAGACCCTGTAACAGCTTCATCGCTTTCTTCGTTACAAAGAGACATCGTTTGGAACTGCTTACTCGGTGTCCCACGAAGTAATCACCTAAACATCTCTTGTGTTTCCAAAACCCTTAGCTCCCTTGTTCTCTCACCTGAGTTCCGATCCCTCCTCTCCAAGGATTCTATTTATGTCTCACGTAACATATAAATATTTATTTTTTCATGAATTTTTACAAATTGACTAACGGCGTCTAGGTCAATGGAAATTCTGACACTATAATTCATGTATAAAAATTTGAATTTTGGTTAGTTCATATATATTTTAGCATATACGGAGTGGTACCACAATATTTTGGTTAACTTGTGTATATTTTAGCATCATGTCTTCATTCAGCTATAAATCTATAAATTTGTCTTTTCAAGTAACTGGAACTGTACCAAACCATAACTTTAATCTTTTAATCCATATATTAAATGCTAATTAAGGGTATATAAAAAAAATCTAGTGGTAAAAGATTTGTAGATAAAGGTTAACTCTTTTATCTAAATTCATGCATTAGAAATATTTTCATTTTGTCTTTTTAAAAAAAAAAAAAAAATTCATTTTGTTGTTGTTAGTTTAAGTGGGTGACACGCTTTTGACTCATTAGAAATTTAAAGTGGGCTATTAGGTGACCACGCTCAAATAAGTCGGGATTGGTTTGGAACCCAAAACAAAAAGGCAATATTTCTTTGGGTTTTAGGCATTATGTTATGTAGCGGGCCGGGACTATCCGTGGATTCTATATAAGAAGGTGGTCGTAGTAGAATGTGGAGGTCTATTCACTTGTGATGCAGAGCATCCTTATATGTTATTAGAAACACACGTCGGTTTAGTGTTTTTGGTGTTAACGTTTTCTCCAAGTTTGAGCTTACTTTTTTTATTTTCGCTGGGCTTTGTTTTTTTCCTTTTTCGGTTTCAGTTATGATTCCTAATGGCCTTAGGTTAATCTTCGTGGCTATATAAAGGAGTCTAAAAGCTTAATTTTATCAGAGAGTTTTCCGCAACGAGCTTTGCTTTGCTTAGCTTACCACGGTTAGGAGTACTCTCGAGCTGTTGTTACGAGAGTCTCCTAGACTATTCGAGACATGTATTATCCTATAATAGCCTCTGATTCCAACGAGCCATCGCTTTCTTCATTACCAAGAGACATCGTTTGGAACTGCTTACTCCGCGTCCCACGGAGTAATCACCTAAACATCTCTTGTGTCTCCAAAACCCTTAGGTCCCTTGTTCTCTCGCCTGAGTTCCGATCCCTCCTCCCCAAGGATTCCATTTATGTCTCCTTCCTCGCTCCTCGTACTGCAATGTCTACGAACTGCCATTGGTTTACTCTCCGTCGCCTTCCCATTGAGAACACAAAGAAGATTCAGTATCGATTATTCGCGGTCCCGATTCCGTTCCCTTGTGATGCTGGTCTCTTTCGTTCTTATTACCCAACAAGTGTTGTGGTTGGGCCAGAGATCTACTTTGTTGGCGGACCCTACTTCTTGAACCGCTCCTCGGATCTCTGGATTTTTGATACTCGGTCTGGAAAGTTGACACAGGGACCAAGCATGAAGGTTGCTCGCACGGGTGACTACCTCGTGGGAGTGGTCGATGGGAAGATATACGTGATTGGAGGAGCGTGTAAAGATGAGGAGGAGATACAAGTGGAGGTTTTTGATCCGATATCGCGGAGTTGGAGTTTCCTAGGAGAGGAGAAAATGAGATCATGCATATCTAGACAGTTCGCCGTGTCAATGAATCGGAAGGTTTATATGGTTGGTTATAGTGCGTGCATCTCTGCGTATAACCCTAATCTGAGTGAAGGTAGAAGAATATTGGAGATGATACCAAAATCTAAGAAAAGAACAAGAGATGAGATGTTAAGTTGTGCAACAAGTGATGGAGTGGTGTGTGTGTGTGTGGTAGAGAATGTGATGTATGCTTGTTTTGCTTGGAGTGGGTTAAAGTGGTTTGACACTAAGCTAAAGGTATGGAAAAAGTTGGTCAAGGTTGATGGGAAGCCAGTGTATGCCTTTTCTGTCTCTGCGATGACGGAATATAATGGAATGCTAGCGGTTTTGTGGCCGCAAAGAAAGTTTGACTCCGAGGAGAAGAAGGATGTTATATGTGGATTCATCTCTTTGTATAAGGTTGGAGAAAGGATTTGTGGCAAGATCGAGTGGTCTGGTATTGTGGCCACAGTCCCGAGTGACTTTAGGTCACTGCGTTGTTTAGTTGTTTCCGATCATCGATGATATCCAAGAGTTTGGTCTGATTTGTGTTCAAAAAACATGATGGAACTAATGTGCTTAAGAGAGACTATTTACAATTTACAACACAAAATAAAAGCATGCATATTCAGAATGCTAAATGTATATGAAACTAATGTGCTTAAGAAAAGATACAACATGTTTTTGTAGTAATTATTGTTGGGAATGTCCTGAAATCATTTGTACTTATTCTAGAAAGTTAAAATGTCAAGGTTTGACAATCATATAATATTAGATGGTTATAATGTTTTGCTAGAAACCGCTTGTCACTTATGGGTCTAAAAGCCCATTACTAATATTATGCGATTCTATTGGGTCACACACCTAAACAAATTAAATCATTAATAAATTGGATTTTAATAATCATACA